CTATAAAACTGTACCATTACAAGAACATTGAAATAAACATTCTTGACGGATTAGTAGGCCATTAAATAAATCTGGGAGAAATTTAAAAATTACAAAAATCAAAAGAAAATAAAACTTTTTAGCCAAGTGTTGTGGTACATACCTTTAATCCCAGCACTGGGAGGTAGAGAGAGACCTGGCCTACATAGTGAGTTTCAGGTCCCCTGGGGCTTAGCAAGCCCCTGCCTCAAAAAAGACCAAAACCAAAAAAAATCAGTGAGATCTCAAATAAGTAACCTATTGATATGCCTCATGGTCTTATGAAAATAAGAATAAACCAAACCCCAAAGGAATAGATTAATAGATGGAAAAAAATAATAAAGGTCAAGATAGAAATTTATGAAATTGAGACCAAAGAGAACAGTACCAAGAGTCAGTGAAATGAAGGGGCCACTTGGATTACCCAGCAGGTGAAGATGCCCTGAATTTGAAACCCAGGATCCACCCACCCCATATGGAAAGAGAATCAGTTTCCACAGACTTCCTCACACAGGCTGTCTGACAACTGGGTCTGCCCTCCACCCCAGTACTAAATGTAACTTAATAAAAAAGATTGGCTTGACAAACTTTTGGCTATATTGATCAAAAAAGAGAGTGAGGAAGACCCAAAGTAATAAAATTATTGATGAAAAAGGGATTATTATAACAGATATCAATGAAATCCAGTGAATCATTAGGAAATACTTGGAAATTTATATTGCAAAAAGTTGGAAAAATGCTGACAAAATGCATAAATTCTTAGACATATATGACCTATCAGTGAAGAGGATATTAACCTATTAAATAGATCCATAGTAAGCAATCAGATTGAAGTAGTTTTTTTTTTTTTAAAGCAACATTCTCCCAACAAAGAAAAGTTCAGGATGGGACTGATTCCTGTCAAATTCTAACTGGCCTTTAAGGAAGAACAAACCAGATTCATTCCTGAAGCAGTATTACCTTGTCCCCCAAGCCAGATAAGGGGAAAAAAGAGAAATGAAAGAAGCATCCCAGTTTACTTGATGAACACGACAAATTAATTTTTTGGTCTTTTCGAGAAAGGGTTTCCCTGTAGCAACAGCTGGCCTGGATTTGCAATTGGAGACCAAGCTGGCCTCAAACTCACAGAGATCTATCTGCCTGCCTCTGCCTCTGCTGGGGTTAAAGTATGTGCCATCACTCCTGGCTTTAAAAAATATTTTTATTATTTTTTATTTTATGTGTATGAGCGCATTGCCTACATGTAAGTAAGTGCATCTATGTTGTGTAATGGCAGCAGAGGTCAGAAGGCACTGGATCCCCTGGAAATGGAGTTATGAACAGTTGTTAGCTGCCATGTGGGTGCTAGGAGTGGAACCTAGTTCCTTTGCAGGAGCAGCCACTGCTCTTCCCTGCTGAGCCATGTCTCCAGCCCTATGTAAAAACTCTTAATGAATTATTTTCAAACTGAAATAAAGAATTCATAGTGTATGATCTTATTCTTGCAATGCAAGAATGGTTGAAGTTAAGCTAATGCAGCGTGTAAGTAGGATCAGTGCTAGAAACCGTGTATTCATTTCAACAGCTGCAGGAGTGTTCTTTAGCAAAGTTCAGCCTCCCTGAATGGTTAAAGTTCCAGCGATACCAGAAATAGAAGGAAGAGCCTCAGCATTGAAGGACATGAAAAGCAGAACCCCAGACAGCCACTCAGTTTGATAAACTGAAGCATTTCCTCGGAGATCGAGAAGATATGAGGACTTGAAGTTTTAGCTACAGGAACCAGGCGAGATAAAGATTAAGAAAAGGGGTACAGATAGACAAGAAGTCAAATTATCTCTATTTACAATCAGTCTGCTCCTATATGTAAAAGACATAATAATTTCCAGAAAACTCTTAATGCTGACAAATATTTTCAGCAAAGTAGAAACGATCTACACACAAAAATCAGTAGCTTTTTTATATACCCATAACACGTTTGTTGAGAAGTCAGGAAAAGAGTCGTGCTCATAATATATTAAAACAAAGTTGCATTGCTATAACCCTATGCAGGGAGATAAAGACCTTTCCAGTGAAGACTGGAGACGAGGAGGAATGCAGGTGAGGAAAGATCTCTGATACTCTGGCATTGGCAGAAATGGTATTGTGAAAATGGCCTTATTCAAAGCAGCCTACAGATCAGTGGAATCCTCAGCACAATTACAATGCTGTTACTCACAGAATTAGGAAAAATTCTTCACCCAGAAGTACAGTGGACCCTGAATAACCACAACAGTCCTAAACAGAAAGAACAGTGCTGATAGGAAGGCATCAGAGTATTCAATTTCAAACTGTACCACAGTCCATAGCAGCATAAACATGGCAACATACCAGGCAGTGGAAAAGAACAGAAGACCCAGAAACAAACCCATACACCTGTAGTACCTGGTTTTTGGCAACTATCTCAAAACCAAGGAATAGCCTCTTCAACAAGTGATCCTGGGAATTCTGCATGTTTGTATGTAGAATGTTAAATTCAATTTCCATCTCTTATTTTGTCCAAAAATCAATACAAAATGGATCAAACACCTTACTGTAAGGTCTGAAATTCTAAAGCAAAAGCCACACACTTTAAGATGCAGAGTAGGTAAGGACTTTCTGAAAAGGATGCCAAAATAGGACAAATGCACGACAAAAATGCTTTGGTATGGAATAGGAAGCAGTCAGAGTGAGAAAGTAGCCTGCAGGATAAGGGAAAGTCTTCACCAACTGCACCTGACAGGTTTAATATCTAGACTCCATGAAGAACTAAGGACTGAATACCAAAAAAGAAAGTCATTCGGTCAATAAATAGGGAAGTAGATTGAGCAGATACTTCTCAACAGAAGCTTTGGGGCTGGAGAGATGGCTCAGTGATTAAGAGCACTTACTGCTCTTCCAAAGGACCTGATTTGGTTCCCAACACCTATATGGTGGCTAGCAGCCATCTTTAATTCCAGTTCCAGGGGATCTGACGCCCTCTTCTGACCTCCACCAGGTGCATGCATAGTGCACTTACATCCATGCAGGCAAAATACCCATGGACATAAAATAGTTAAAAAATGAAAAAGAATATCAGTTATCAATAAATACGTAAAATACTCAACTTCCTTATCTGAAAGTAGAAACAGTGCCGAGACTCCCATCTCATCCAGTTAGAACGGCTGGCTTTGAGAAACCAACTAACAACATATTCCAAGGATACAGAGGAAATGGAGCTGTTACAGCCTGCTGATGGGAATGCAGCCTAGTACAGCCACTGTGGAGATCAGTAAGAGGCTTGCCCCCAAAACTGAGAACACATGATCCAGAATACATACCTGACTCCAAGTCAGCTGACCACAGAGATCTTGTACATTTGTGTTCATTGTAACACTTCACAGTAGCCAAGATGCAGAAGTAGCCTGGATATTCATCAATGGATGATTGGATCAAAAAAATGTGCTCTGTACACATAATGCAGTTTTGTGTGTGTGTGTGTGTGTGTGTGTGTGTGTGTGTGTGTGTGTTTTGT